TGAATACCATGGGGTTCCTCTCGGTTCCTTTCTCCAGCCTGTCGAGGTCCCTCTAGATGACAGCATGACACTGGTCTATCAGCCACTCCTCAGTCTTGTGTCATCAGCAAAATTGCTGACGGTACACTCTGCGCCATCATACAGATCATTAATGAAGACATTAAATAGGCTCAGATGTTAAATAGGTTGTGGACCAGTATTGACTCTTGGGGTATACTGCTAGTTATTGGTCTCCAATTAGACCTCATGCTACTGATAACAGTCCTCCTGGCTCAGCTGTTTGGTTAGCTTTTAATCCACCTCACTGCTCATCTAGCCCATACTTCATCAACTTCTCTACAAGGATCTTAAGAGACAGTGTCAAAAACCTTAATGAAGTCAATGTAGACATCTACTGCTCTCACTCTGTCTACCAACCTAGTTATTTTATCATAAGAGGTTATCAAGTTTGTCAAGCATGACTGTGAATCCATGCTGGTGACTCACAATCACCTTCTTGTCCATCACGTTCCTGGAAATTTTTCCCAGGATTAGTTGCACCATCACCTTCCCAGGGACTGAGGTGACGCTGACTGGCCTGTAGTTCCCTGGGTCTTCCTTCTTGACTATTTTGAAGACAGGAGTGATACCTGGTTTCCTCCAGTCCTCAGATATCTTTCCCAAGTGTCATGATTGTTCAAAGTTAATGGCCTTGCACTGATATCAGTCCAGATCCCTCAGCACTCGTGGGTGTATCCCATCTGTGCCCATGTAGATCCAGCTTACTGGATCACAGCAGCATGAACCATGGCTACATGTGCCAGCCAAGGGACCTTATTATGTGACAGCAGTTAAAAAAAATTACTTGCAGTTCTCAGTGAAATTTTAATTTCCACTTTAAAAGGGCCTGTTCTCATAACCTGTGTATATGAACAGAAGTTATAGATAGCAATTTATTATCCTCTCTCTGTGGCATCTGCTGGCCATGATGTGGCTTCATAACATTACCAACAATTTCCATTTTCAGCATCCAGGGTAGCATGGGTTTGAACGGCACAACGATGAATAGGACAGTTAAGGAGAGTGAAGAGGAAAGAAAAGTCAGAATGAATAAACAACATAAATCAGAAAAGGGAAAAAATACAAAACAAGAAAAAAAACAAACAAGAAAAGCAAGTAAAAAACCCCCCACGAACCAAAAAGGCAAAACAAGCTTTCCTTTCGCTCTGCCTAGGAAGAGAGGAATCCTGGTTCTCTTCCAGGTGAAACAATATTATCTTGACAGAAGGATTACTAAAAACAGAGCAAGGACAAGTCAGAGAGAGAGAAAGAGCCCATTGGGAGAACACATATACCAGTAAAGCAACGGTGTTTGCCTGTGTGTGACACGTGACTCCAGTGCAGCCTCCTGTTGCACAATCTTTTCGATATGAGCACAGGTCAAGGCACAAAAAAGAAGCTCTGAGATACCACTAAGAGTTAAACGCGTGCTCCATTAAAGAGGGAACATTCCCTTCTGCCAATGATGTGGAAAAGATAATATAACATGTCACATCTGAGCAGCCTCAAGTTATTGATTTGGTGCCAATAGGGGCAGTTGTTGTCTTTGCAAGATGACATTGACCAAGCTGCATCTTTGAGACATTTGCGCAAGCTATCATTCCCTTCCCTCCAGCTTCTCCTCTCACTCTGGGAAGCCATGTGGAACAGAGTGCTGATCCAGGACCTGCTCATTAGATCAATATCAGAAATATGCATCCTGAATGCATTGAAAGCGATAAAAACCTGCTGCTATCTTCAGCCATGGCCCTGAGACAACAAATACAAGGCAAGGTCAGATGGGGAAAGCAGACAAACAGTGCTCCTCCTGCTAATCCTCATTATGATGGCACTGGTGTATCCAGAGCCAAACTTCAGATTCTGATACTATTTCAGCTCAGTGAAATCAGGAGGCCCAACAGACAACACCTGCCACTATCTCCCACAACTTTGAATTTTCGTGGAGCCATTGCACCCCATCACAGTCTCCTTTGCACCATCTGCAGCTCCTGCAAATAGAAAACCACAGCTGGGATGGAAGCAAGAATGGGACCGGTGTCCTGGGTATTGATGTTAATATCAATGGGGAGGGAAGAACTTCTGCTTTTACTCTTTCACTATGAGTTCAATATTAATGAAAAATTCTTAGCAGATAATGCAGCAAACTTTGGTCTTTTGTGCATACACCATTTCTTACTAGTGAGACAGAACTCCTTCAAGCTGAGCACAGCTGGTGTGCCTCAGTCCTGGCATACCAGTGTATCTTAAAATATATTAAATGCCCATCATTTTAGCAGCTAAGCAGTATCACATCCCATTTAACACATACACAGCATTTTATAGAGCAGAACGCTGTAGAAATCCTTTTCCCTTAGGTTTTTCTACATGCTCATTGCAGTGACATGCATCTGACCAATTAAAGCAAAACAGCTTTAGTTAATTAACTCTAAGGGACTGAGTGTTTCCCTGGCTGAAAGTCATAAGAGCTGGTTTTGATATTATGAGTGCCACTGATTAACTCTTAGATACTGGACAATTCACTTCATCTTCCTATGCTTCATTTTTCCCTGGTGCAAAATGTAGAGAAACAGAATTTGTTTTCTTTGGTGAAGTGCTTTTGAGGGCTGTGAATGAAAAGAGCTATGCATCATCAATGAATCCTCAAAAAGCCCCAATGGGGAATTCATGGGAATAGCACTGTCCTCACTGTGCTTCTGAGCCACAATCAAGTAAAGCAACAAAGAGCCAAAACCTCACTGAGAGGCAGCAGTGGGGACAAGATAAGAGTTTAGGGCTGCCTGACACCTTGACAGCCAGTTGTTCCTCCAGACCAGGCTGGCAAGATGACATCTTTCTCTCATTCCTTCCCACACCACCCAATTCTCACCCCTCCAGCTACTCGATTGCATGTCTTCACTTCCGCAGTTTGTTCTATTTACCCTGGCCATCCTCCTCCTCAGCAAATCGACACATCCAATCACTTCCGACACCCAACAACCTCCACTAATGTCTCTTTCTGGTTGCAGGGATATTCCTGTTCACTGGGCTAAATTCACTGCATGGTGTCCTACAACTATACACACCCTTCAGAGTATTTTTTCAGACTTCTACGGGGCTCAAGGTCTTAAATACTGTGGAGTTTTTCACCCAAAGATTTGCCTTAGGAAAAACTGACACTAGCATATTTTCTTTCATTCTATTCCTATTACTTTATCATGACTTAGTTTTATCTTTATCCGTTCATTCTACTTAACTCCACATAGTTGCAAGACCCAAAGCTAAAACACCAGCTCCACAGTGCATTAGGAAGAGCAAGGCAAATAACTTGTACCTGCTAATTGATTTGATTATTTCAATTTATTTTTATAACTGAGGAATGGAAGTGAACAGAACTGAATTTCCTCAGATTTTTTTCAGTATTTGAATAAATATCCTTTTAAAAACATGTGCTTTGGACTTGCTTGTCAATATTTCTTCTTTTGGCAAAGAGTGGCTAAGTTTGTAGCAATTAAATAAATCAGTTTATTATTTCTGTTCTACAACTGATTGAGATAAAAGTATTTCTGGCACAAAATGTTGTCCATGTCAACTAAACATTCGGTTCTGAAAACAACTATAAAATTAGATTTCATTGTAGAAGAAGAGTGAGTGAAAAACATCACATGAACATTTACTACTCATTTTGACTTTCTCATGCTAAAGAGAACTACTCAATGCTAAAGAAGAAAATAGCAAGGTCTGTTCTGGGATCTAGAGGCTGAGTACCATGACTTGACTGGTGCCTCAGGTCTCACTGCAGGCAGTAGGAGAAGGAGCCAGCAGACCAGTTTGCAGGCCAGCAGATAGTAACCTCAAGCCTACTATGGAAATCAACGGCTTTGGCAATGTTTAGGCCAGAGATTGCTCTAAAATTATAGCCCAAACCCAAATCCCATTATTCTTCTACCAGATCCAATTTTTCTCCACTGGCTTCAGGATGCTTGTAAAGCTACAGGAGTTAGGTGTTTGGTTCTACTTTGCCCTGAGATTCTGACTTTGCTGGTAGATCACATGTATCCAAAGACAGACTTCAGCTCAGTACATCTGATACTGCTGCCTCTGAAATAGAAAGGCAGGAAAGGGTGTTTTCTAGAGGTTCATCACTAGCATGAACATACTAGGTCAATCATTCTTCAAAGACAGAAGCAAAAAGCAGTAACATTGTTTTCCTGTACTGTTAAGCAGTTTCTTACCCATTTTTAATCCCTAACATTTATTGCTTCTTTCTTTTTTACAGTTAGGTTCACTGCAAGAGCAACTCTTGCTTTACGTCGTTAAAAGTTGGAGGAGTTGTAGAACTGGAGCAGCATAATGAACATTTAGAGCTTGCTTTTGAAATTATCTCTATCTCTTCTTGCATTTAATATGGTATAAAACATTAAATACTCCAAAGTTGTCAGCCATTATAGTTGTGTAAAACAGATGTTAGTGAAGTAAGAAATGAGCTTTATCATATAAGTGAAAAACCTCTTGCTAACAACCCGGAATCTCGAATCACAGAATAATTAGAGCCTGTGTTACGGGTAGACAGCACAAACTTCCTCCCACGTCGCTTCCTCTCTCAGTAGTATGTTTCAATCCCACCTACAGGAGGTGGAAAGGGAAACTTCTGACTTCAAGACCATCAAGTTTTTCTTTCTTTGTTAAGCCTAGTAAGGAGGCTACCAACTGCGGTACTTTTTTTTCCTAAATTGGAAATTTTACTGAAAACAACTGTTGTTAGAGAAAGAATACTGTAGATATTTGTAATGTATGACTTAGAAAAGTGATGAACAGACCAACAGATAACTGACAGACACAATGCAAATTTATCAGATACCACTAATGTAACTGGTGGCAGTGGCAGTGTTACCTCAATACAAAGTCAAATCAGTGACCTAAGAATAAAAAACTTCCTGCTTTTCTCCCCCTGCCATCATCAGAAGACAAAACAGCAATTGCATTTACCTGTAGATCAGGACTTCATCATCCGAGCAATTATACTGCAGCTGATACATTTTTACCCGAGGGGCTGACTTGCTCACCGTCCACTTGACCAAAGCTGAGGTAGTGGTCACATCTGACACCAGGACAGCCCTTTCTGGTGAACCTTTTGTTTCTCCACGATTAGACTTACTAGAGCTGGTGATGTCCGAGAGTCTGGATTTTGGTTGGGCTGCTCGGCCTGTGCCGTTGCTGAGATGGGGTAGCTGAACAATTGAGAGCTCAATCGTTGCAGTGGACTCTCCAGCAGCATTGGCTGCTATGCATGTGAAAGTCCCATAATCCTTGGAGGTGGTGATGAGGATATCTAAGGTGCCGTTGTCATAGACAGCTGTTCTTGAAGAGTTGCCAATGAGACGGTCATCAGGGGTCACCCAATGAATGATGGGGGTGGGATCCCCAATGGCTTTGCATTTCAATGTGGCAGTTTGCCCTTCTAAAACCAGCAACTTGTGAGTATGTTGTGTAATAAGAGGAGGCTCACAAACAAATTCTTCCTCCCGTACATACCAGAAGTACCTTCCCTTTAGACCCGGAGGAGAAGCACAAGTTTCCATATCATCATCTCTGTCAAGTCGCCTTAACCACAGTAGCTCACAGTTGCAATGCAGTGGGTTGCCCCCAAAGCTGAGAGACAAAGGTGGAGAAAATGGGGTGACAGCTAATGGAATTACTTGAGATCTGGCAAATATAGGGTCAGGGGGGAGCTTCTGAAGTCTGTTGGATGTTAGATCCAATCTGGCCAATTTCTGAAGATCTGCAAACGTCCCCTCTGTAATATAATCTATCAGGTTATGATCCAAACTGAGCTGGTGCAAGTTTATCATCTTCCTTATAGATTCCCATGGAATGCTTCGGAGGTTATTGTAGGAAAGGTCTAAGTCTTCCAATGTCAGCAAAAAATCCTCGAAAGCTTCATCAGAGATGCTGCTTAGCTGGTTGTTGTTTAAAATCAAATGCTGAAGGTTAATTAAGCCTCTCAAAATATCCTCTCCAATGTCAGGCAGCCTGTTACTATCCAGGTGTAAAGAGCGAAGGCTCTCCAAGTCAGTAAAAGAGTAGGGCTGTATGTAACTGATGGTGTTTCTGGACAAAGTAAGGTCAACAAGTCCAGACATATTGGCAAAATCCTGTCGGCTGATATTAATAATAAAGTTGCCCCCAAGTCGGAGTTCAACAGTCCTTCGATCTATGTCTAGCGGTACAAATAGGAGACCCTTGGAGGGACACAAAGTCCCCAGAGATTCAGACAGGTTCTGACAGACGCAATATTTGGGACAAGCGTTGACCATGACAGCCATTCCAAACACCAGGATGCTGCAGAGCAATTTTTCCATGGTAAATCACGCAACAGTACCTGCAAGAAATGAAAAGAGTTACAAGGAACATCAGCAGTTATGGTATAGTACCTTCCCTCTTATGTTTTACCTAATATCTACTTCTAGAGAGACTTCGCAGTGCCTCCTCTCAAGAGTCACACCTAAGGCGATCAGCACTCTGGAATAGGAAAGTTAAGTGTTATAGCAACATGTCTCCCCACATAAAGCATTTCTTTCTAAAAAAAGAAAAAAAAAAAGTGGGTTTGGTTCCAAATCTGAATGGTATAGGAATTGTTAGTGTTTATGCCTGGTAATAGGGTCTTGTGACTGCCTATTTTCTAGTTACAGTTTTATAATTTTTATTCGGTAGCTGGTAGAGGAGAAATCCTGCCTTCAGATTCCATGGCTTACTTAAAACCCTGAAAGATTTCATTTGGAATAGTGCCTGCTTCTTTGAGTGTAGAAGCTGTCTTATAGTAATTACATACTGCTGCATAATAATGTGGAATTAGTCTTAGGGTTGAAAGAGCTGATTTTATGGATAAAAATAACTGCATATTTACCCTTCAGTAATGTGGTTAGTAATGACCATGTAATTATCTGGCCAGTCCTGGGGCAAGTCACTTCACTTGCCCACCCATAATAAAATTCATGTTAGGCAGCACAGAAAGCTGAAATCGCTTGCATAATTGTCACCTGGATTCACCCTACGCTCAGCCAACCTATATGAAGGATGACATCACCTACTTCCAAAGGTAAGAGATGCAGGGGAAACCTGTGTTACCTTAGGCTCCTGGCAAGCTTTCTCACACCCTTATGCTTTCATGCTGCAATCCTTTCTGTTGTAGTGACAGCACGGTTCTCACCTCTGTCCATGGCCCTCTCTTGCATCCTGCACATTTGTCTTTGCACCATTATCTTCCTTTTTTTTTTTCAGCTCTCACGTGCTTTTCCAGCTTGAGCTGTAAGGTATGTGTGTTTGAAGAATAAACAAAATGTGTTTACAGGCTGACTCAGAGGGCCAGTTGTGGTTGGGAGAAGTTGCAGCCCTGCTTCAGGTTGGGAATATCTTCTTACATGACCTTCCCACATGTGCAAGACATACGTAAACTTGTTTTCTTTCTGCCTTTCCCTCGCCCAGACCTTGCTATCATGGAGTGCTGAGGAATGGGCAGATCTTTAATTTTTAACCCTCATTCTCCCAGGGGCAGGTTGACAAAGAGCTGTATTTTTGTAAGGGATTTCCCAGGCTTTTTTGCCAAGATAGCGTGCTCTAGTCTCTAAGTCCCTCACTTGTGGCAGTAGCTGCAGGCACAGTTCAGGCTATAATTTTCAACATGGCCATTTTTCCTCAATTTAACCTACGTTACCCCACCACGTAACTTTGTATCACTGTCCTCAGTACTTGGTATATGTCATATCTCTTCTCAATGACAGAGGTGCTCATACCCTTAGCAGGTTTTGGCACTCGTGTTTCAAGAGCAGTCATGGCACAATAAAGGGTGAAACACCCTCATGCTTCATCAACTACCCCTCCAGTGCCTACGGAGCGGATGGCAGACAGTCACCTGTGCCTAAGATAGTTCTTTTACTGCTGTACGCATGATGGGATAATACGCAATGTCTCATAATGACTCCAGTAATTAGTACTACGAGGCTATTTAAACTTTAGTAAACATATGACGCAAGAAACACATTTCACAAAAAAGTCACATCGCAATTACTTACACATCATCACACAGCTGAAATGACAGTGAAGCGGATGTCTTATAATAATTAAAAGAAATTATAAAGGTTAGTTATTTATCCCCCTGTAACACACACCAAACACAAAACAAAATCTATCACTTCAGTAATCTTTTTTTTAACTCTTTAAACAGGTCTTGCTCCAGCCCCCTGTGAAAGGAATGAAAATTAGGGCCCTACATTTGGGGCTCTGCCCAAAGATGGGCAGTTCCTCTCCTGCATAAGGTGGTTTGGTTTCTCCCCTATAGAAGTGCGAGATGATTCAGAAAGAAGGAGCTGTAGAAATGCAAGACGTTATGAGTGCTGAACTATGTATAGTACATCCTTTGTGGCAAGGTTTTCTGCATGGTGTCATGTTAGTCATTATATACCATTATTACTATTTCATAGGAGAGGAAAGGACTGAAGCATCTATGTTTGCTGAACTCTGCAAACAAGATGAAAGTGAGATACTTTTAGAAAGGATGGCTTGAGAAGAGCAATCTTACCTTCAATAGTAAATAAAAGGCTACTGAATAAAATGTTTGGAGATTAGCAAGTGTGTTATTGATGCAAATCTGTGGCATACTTAGCAAAGAACTATAAATATCCCTCACATTATTATCAATTGGTAGTTTACTAACAGGCAATCGGCTTTTTGAATCTTAATTATAATTGTGTTCTGCAGCTTTAATTTAGTGTATTACCCTACCAGCTGAAATGATAAACAAAAAGCAGTTTAAAAGGGGGAGAAATAGATACAGTTAATTAGTAATAAGCCCTTTCATAGCTTCTCCCTCATCTACGTTCCCACCCTCTGAATATCTATTCAAAAATGTGAATGCACACTTACGAGAGCAGTGTCTCCTTTAAGTGTCCCAATTCTCTAACCACATTTTTTCCGGATGCTGTTAAATATCACAGTGCTCTGGGGAGATGGTTGACTATAAGCATCAGAGTGAAAAGCGCTTGTAGAAAAAAAACGGGGGGAGAAACAGAAGTTAATTACAGAAAATAGGGACTGCAACGCTGAGAGGAGGCTGTGAAGCAGGAGATCTAAATGGCAAAGTAAACCCTGATGGGGAAACCATCTGTGGATGGCTTGAAAGTGCATCATCTGCCTGTGTGTGCTTGCATGTGTGCGTGAGAAAGACACAGAGAGTGCAATATGTGCTTTTACCAGCAGGAGGACAAATCAGTAACAGCTGTACTAGGATGGAAATACCATGGCTGCTGCCATTCCACCTATTGAATGCATTTGAAAATATTAATGTAAGTATTTCTGCAGAGGAAATTTCTCCCCTTTGTGATCTGTTGCCAGCATCGGTATTTCAAGCTTCTGAGTCTTATGTTTCTCTACAAGGTAGCCCTGAAATGACCAGTTCATGACACAGCAAATAAGGTACAAGCCTAAAGGACTACCTATAGGACATTGGAGGGAACAGAGGTGGTCAGGGCTCCTTAAGGAGAGCATCTGAGGTTTCTATAGAGCAGCTGGTTTTCCTTTTTGTCTCTGGACAGACAAAGGACCTGGGCCACAGATTAAGTTTGCACAACTCTAACAGTATATTGTAAAATACAGACTCCCCCACAAAGTCATGGCAATTGCTAGTTACCAAGGGGATGGATGTATAATAAAAAATGTTTTTATTTCAGTTCTAGTAACTTTCATATAAGACAGAAAATAAAGGGTCAAGTTTAGAGTATGTTTTTGCAGACCAGTTTGTTCACCTTGGTCCCAAAATGCCTTGTTGACCTGCAAGACCAAACATTTTATGGGCTACTAATGGTAGCCTTGTGATAAGCTCACCATTCTGATTCACATTTTAAAGGTATCTATCAGCCAGATAAAGTAGATTTCTCTCAGCAAGTCAGTAAATCTGGCAGACTTCCTGTTTCAGTCCAAGATGAGAAATAGCCCCTTTAGTCCTCTTAATAACATGTATTGGTATGAATTAATATGTGCAAGAGTCATAAACCTCGGTGTTTTGTATTCAAATTTTCCTCATAAAGATACAACTTCTGAGATTTGGCATCTCATTTCAGGAATGTCTCTAAGGCGTTTTTTAATTCTATATTCAATGAGTTTTGCATATGAATTCCAATAACCTTTGCATACCACAGCACCAAGTACAAGGTAACTGTCAGACAAATAAGCTATAGCTGCAGCATACAAGCTGCGGAAAAAAAAAAGACAGACAAAAAAAAAGGACAGGTGGATGGATAGCGGCCCTGATTCTACTGTCTCCAAGTGCCCTGGGGTCCAAGTTCCAGAGACTGTATGGGTGAGTTAATATACTTTTCTTCAGCTTTGTAGGTGCTGTGGGGGAACTGGATTTTCTTTTCCCGGAGTTGCCCATTTCCTTTTTCTTAACCTCTTATCTCTGTCTTCAGTGAACCTCTGTCACTAGGAAATCTTATGCCCCAGCTGCAAAGCTTGAAGGACTGCAGCCATGGATGAAGTTTCACGCGTATTCTCTGAAGCGGTTTAGTCTACAATGTGTACAACGGGATGGGACCATGTCAGGACAAAAATTACTCCTTAATCCCTTGCATTGCCAAAAACTGTGTGGGAAAGGTAGGTCTCATGTTCTCCCTGATCCATGCAGGTAGTTTATGCCTAACTCACCACGGAATGACAGTGGCCGGAGGGAAAGTAAATGTCTCTGCATCTGAATCTGTCCTCAGTACAACACACATTAAAACGCGGGTTGGGTGTTAAGCCACCGCTAGCTTTGGGAGCGTCTGTGAGACTGTTTAGGTCTTCAAAGTCAGTTATGTACCTGTGTGCTTACAGGCTCGGGCTCGCGATAGCTAGCACTGCTTTTGTTTAGCTTTTGTCTTTTGTGTTTGCCCAGGCTCCTGCACTCCTTGGGGGTAACGCTGCTCATCACAGTACATCGTGCATGTACTGTGCATGAGTACAGTGCAACTTAGATTTTGGCCAGGCCTTTTTAGGAGCTAGTTTTATTGGAAAGAATTAATAGCTCTAACATGGGAAGTGCTTGCTTTCTCCAGCCACCACCTTACATTTTATAAATCATAGAGGGGAAACATTTACAAGCACACTTTTCTCCAGGTATTCGTGGCTGTCTTTACTAAGCTCCACCTATATTAATTTGACTGGTATTGCTTCCACAGCAACAGAAAAAAAGGAACTCTGGGTGAATGGTAAAAAAAAATTATTGCCCTTTGTACAACTTCTTCTTGAATACTGCAGCCATAGCAAGGTTGCAACCAAAAATATTTTACCATCCCAGTACCATCATGAAGTTCATTTATGCAGTTTGCTT